AAAAGAAGTATACTCTTTGTCAGGCTAGTACATCGAGATCTGGTTATATCCCGAGTACGCGTCCATAAAGCTAAATAGTGTTTTTCCCATTTTCGCATCTACAAGATGATCGATTCGTGGTAGCGAAAAGTTATCTTTCGGGTAGGCTTTGTTTAGATCTGTGAAGTCGACGCAAGTCCGCCACTTGCCATTCTGCTTCTTAACTAGGACTAGGTTGGTGAGCTAGTCCGGGTACCTGACTTCCCTTATGAAGTTGATTTCTAGGAGCTTGTCAACTTCATCTTTGAGTGCTTGAGAGCGCTCTACATCCATGGCCCTTTTTCTGTCTTATGGGCCAAGCCTCTGAGTTGAGGTTTAACCTGTGGCAAATCACTTCGGGGTTGATCCCGACCATATCAGCATGCACCCACGCGAATATATCGGGGTTCTTCTTTAGGAACTCGACTAGATTGTTAGCCATCATTGTGCTCAAGCTGGTGACAATCTTCAGTATGCGAGTTGGATCCTCCTCGCTAACACTTACTCCTATCAGATTATGTTGGAGTAGGTGCTCTAGAGCCAATCTATTATTGTAAAAATTGACTCTGTAATAAATGTTTATTTATCAGTAAAAGGCATATTGTTCTATATCGTGTAAATCATAGTTATATGTAATGATATATGTCTTTAGGATGGTAGGACCGTGATGAGGGTATCAAGTGTTTCAAATCTTGATAGTAAGAACCCTATGATCACATATGGTGGCCATTCTAGAAACATCCGTAGCCCCAGTATTATTCTAACCAAGGACACAGATAATACGATAAGGCTATCATTGTGTTGAACGACCCTGTCAAAAGGTAGTGACTGATCTCACTTGTCAAGGTTGTCTACCGACAACCTAGTGCAATGCATGGATGCTTGCTAAAGGCAAGTTCACTGGACAGACCCACCAGAGGATACCATATGGATGGTAACCCCAGTGTCTATGGAATAAATCCTCTAACAGATGGTGATGCATGTGATCCTTAGACTTGAGATCACCGGAGCGCCTTGTGTACCAACTGGTGTAGTTTGACACTAGCCCATCATAGTTATATTCAGAGCTATCAATACAGTAGTGATTGGCTACATTAAGAAGTGTATTGAGACTATGGTGGATCGACAAGTGATTCATCACTCTTGCGTACGGGAGAAGTTATCTTAATAAATGGCAATGACACTAAATCTGTGGCCACAGTGGGATTGAGTTTATGCTCAATCCAATTTATTATTCCGGCCATTGGTCCATTAACTGATTACAAACATGTCAAGGATATCTTAGGTTGACACTATTTTTGTACCTCAGTCTTGATGAGATAACGGATGATAAAAGGATTAGATTGCACGGTAACCATATCGTTGACAGGCTGCAGTTTCGCTAAATCTGAATCTATCGGGTGGCCATGATGCCTTGCTAGGGCTAATCTTGGTTTGTATATAGTGAGACGATTAATTGGTGTTAATCGCGATACTACACACTGCCGATATGATGAGGAGCCTACAGGTCACACACTTAGAAGATAATTTAATAATCAATTTGTGAGAAGGGTATTTTTGTCTTTTAGGACAAAAGGGTATTTTGGTAATCTCACAGTGTAATTAAATTTGCTAAGGTTGTTGCCTGTATTTAATTTTAATATTAAAATTAAATTAGTGAGATTATATTTAAATATATCTATGTATATATTTAAATGAATTATTATTATTAATTAAATGTCAATATATTATTATATATTAATTGATTTTAATTATAATAATAATGAATTAATTAAAATACCATAAAGGGTGTGTTTGGTTGCAAGGGTGAACTAGGGTTAGAGCCCATGGCTATTCCTAAGTGGAATAGGGTTTTAATTGTTGCACTATATAAGTGCAACTCAAAATTAAAACAATGTGACATATTCATTCAATCAAAAACCCTAGCCGCCTTATCTCTCTCTCTCTCGCGTTACACTCTTGTGTAAAGAAGAAAATTTTTTTTGTTCTTCTTTCTTGATTCTTGAAGCCCTTGATTGTTCTGGCAAAATAATCAAGGGTTCTGCGGATTATCTTCGTGTGGACTTCCGTGAGTGCAATCCTACATTGGATCGATTAGCGAAGAATCACATGAATAGTGGCTGGTGAACACTAATCGATGAATAGTAGTTGGTGAACAGTATTCGTATCTGAACTCAGAGATATTCGGAGGAGCCTCCAAACATCGGTATGAACTAAATCACGTTATAATTTGTACTCGGATCTTGGTTCATGTAATTGATCAATTTGTTTTAAATATTACGTTTTTCCGCTACGCGAATCCGGTCAGTTACTCACAGCTTCTTGGTTGGTCCTGCAACGGACTCCTCCTTGTGACTGCGAGGACCTCTGGATTCTTCTAGCGGTCTGGGGTTTGGCTTGGATTCTACGATGATCATGGTCTTTAGGTGCGACCATTTTTGTGCTACGTTTATGGCCCAATAATAATAATCGTGTGATTCTTTAGTGCAGCTCCTGACTATCACGACTCCCTTGAGAGTCAAAAATCTCATTGCTTGGCAGCACACTGACGTGACTGTGCTCAAATCATCCAGGATTGGTCTTCCAAGGATGACATTATATGTGGTTGGGCAGTCCACCACCAGGAATTCGACCATCACAGTTCTGACCTTTGGTTCGGCCCCTAGAGTTACGGGGAGGTTAATAGTACCTTTGGGAACTAAGTTGTCCCCGATGAACCCATAGAGTAGCGAAGGGCATGCTCGCAGATTCCTTTCTGTGAATCCCATTCTCCGGAAGGCTCCCAAGAAAATAATGTTCGCCGCGCTCCCGTTTTTTACCATAACCCGTAATACTCTTGCGTTACCAATCTTTGCTGCGATTACAATCGCGTCATGATTGTGACAAGGGGATGTTTCGCACTCGTCGACTGTGAACCCCACTACCTCACTTTCCTATTTAGGCTGTTTGGGTAGCTTATGTTCACAACTCATTACTCGGGGGACTGAGTTCGTTTTGGCCTCCCGAGCGTATTGCTCACGGGCTCGCCTCGAGTTTCCCGCTATATCTGGTCCTCTGTAGATTATATTCACAAAGACCTCATTGCGGGTTGGTAGAACCTGCTGACCAGGGGTCTGTATCTGGCCTGGGACCAGGTTACTTGGCTCGCTAGGAATCTGTCGAGGTGGTTCTGCCTTAACAAATTCTTTCAGATGACCTCTTCTTATCAAGTCCTCGATGGCGTCCTTCAGAGCCCGGTAGTCATTCGTATTGTGCCCAACATCCTTGTGATACTAGCAATATTTTTGTCGATCTCTTCTTCTTGGAGCCCCTATCATTCTTTCCAAAGTGGGAAACCTCTTGGCCTCTCAGGATACTGATGCGTGTTTTCATAAACATGCAAATGTAGTAAGTGTACTAGTCGCACAAAGTAATAAAGTGATGAGTGAGTATCGTTCCCACGAGAATAGTGTTACTAAGTACCGATTTCTCTAGTTTAAGTCCTAATTGAAGCAACAATAAATTGGATTGATGGAAAATTAACAAACTAAATACAAATTAACAAAATATAAATGAATGAAAGTGAAATTAAAGCAAAACCCAACAACTTAACTAATTAAGCAAGGCTAAAAAATGCTAGGGTGTTGATTTCACCTAGATACGCTAACCCAATTCATAGAATTTATTACCCAAGTTCTAATTCCTTGATTGAAAATCGAATTCCCTAAGTTGTAAAACATACCTTCTCAGGCTACATTTCCCTACTTATCCCTATTAAGCTTCTGCACCCATCAAAATGAAGATTAATAGTTCAAAGTCTGTTACGCTTTATGGAATTTTATCTAGATTTCATAGATCGCTAAACCTATCTCTAGCGTTTGCTTAATCTACGGTATTTATCCTAAGAAGCACAATCACAAATCACTTCCCAGTCTCATTGTGAACAACACACATTTGAATGGTGATCAAGCATCCAAAAGTCATTAAGCAAAGAGATAAACACTCAATCATGAAATTAAAACTCAAAGTAAATCAATTCATATAAATTTGAATAATTGTATCAAGGTTACTTCAAACCCTAGCTAAAAAACTCAATTCATGCTCAAAAACGAAATAAAATAACAAAAACCAACTGAATCAAGATTCATTATTGAAAAACAAGCGAAAGATGGAGAAATCTTCTCTAATTTGAAGCTCAAATCTTCAATAATCTTCTCCTTCTATGAGCTGCCTCCCAAATGACGAACCAAGTTCCTCTTCTCTTCCTTTTTGCTCTAATTTATACCTCTCTCACTTAAGGATGAAGCCCTAGCAAGCCAAAACGCGTCGTTTTATTTTTACATCTGATGTAGGTTTCGCCGCGGTGAATAATTTCGGGTCAAATTTGAGCCTGATAGAGTCTGAATCTGGAAAAGTGTTAAACATATGAATTGTAGCCCTTTCAATTATATTTTTGGTAGTTTAAGAATCAGAATAATCTGAAGTCTATAGATCAATTTATGACAGAAATACTGAAGCACATCCAAAGACGTTTTTTCTCCAGTTCCCAGCGTACTTTTCACGACTTCAAGCCAAGTTTTCACCCTTGTCCAGTCCAAATTAGGAAAACCCCAGAACATGAAAGTTATATCTCTTCTTCTTAGCTTTCCAAAACTTCTAAATTCAGGTCATTCCGAGTTTCCAAGCTCAAGTTACACAATTTACCCTCAAAACTATCATTTATGCTAAAAATCATTGTTTAGGCCTGCGAAGACAAATTAATAGAATTAGGTAGCAATTATGGCCCAAATTGTATGAAAAGTATCCTAAATCCTATCAGAATTCAATGCAAAATCATAGTGTAAAATATGATTATTAGATACCTCAAAGATGTGAGCAATGTCTTGAGTAAGGGGGTGTACTCTGCATACCGCGGGAAAGGTTGCCTGTCTCCGTGGTTATCTATTCTCTGTTTCTTTGGGAATCTATTACAATCCTTGTCGCTGTGGTCTTGGCCCCCATGCTTATCCGAGAGGCGATCTTATCTCTGGTCTGAGACCCCCCGTGTCGAGCTTCCAGCTAATGCCGCTAACGAGCTTTCTACTCGTTGGTATTTTGTGGTTATCTGGTAGAATTTGGCCAAACTCACATGGTCTTCGCTCTGGAGCTCTTTCCACAGCTCCTATTGAGCCTGGTCCCTGCAATCAAGAGAGTCCAAATGGATTCTTCAAGGGTATCAGCGACCTTTGCCTGCTCGTTCTAGAACCTCATCAAATACGAGGTTAGCGATTCGTCGCACTTTTGGCGAATGTTGCTCAAGTAGCTGAGCGGCATTGCAAACTGTCTCCTCGCCTGAAACTGCTGCATATATAGTTTGCAGAATTGTTGCATGGAGTTGAAAGAGTTCGCCTTGAGTCATTTGTACCATCTCTTGGCATCTACAACTAATGTGACTGCGAAGCACCGGCATTTCGCTAGGTTACTAACCTGGTGCAGCTCCATCAGGTCATTAAAGTTGTCGAGGTGATCTCTGGGTTCCCCTCTCTCGTCGAACTTGATTTCTGGTACTCTGAATCCTTGTAGGGGCGGGGCTTAGCGAACATCCTCCGTAAAGGGGGAACTTACTATTTCTTCCGCCAGGTTATTCTGACGAGCTTTTAGATTGTCGAGCATCTTTTGCATGCGATCTAAGTCTTCATTTTGGTTCTCATAGTTCACTCTATTAAGCTATACCTCGAGCAAGTGGCTTCGCAAGTCTGTTGCTTACGAAGCTCCTCCGATATATGCGTTGATAAGCGAAGTCGAGTCATAGCCGAAACGTCGGTCATTGGTAGGTGCTATCATGCTCGTCAGTGCATTGCTCGCGACGTCGGTCACAGCTGAAACGTCGGTCATTGGTAGAATGACGCACATGGCTCGCTTCGCGAGCCTACGAAGATCGATCTTGCCTTGGGCGTGGGTTAAAATCGGCACGCTGACGCTGGGGATACGGCTGAGCTTCTCAGTGGTGTCAGTCGCCTTCACTTTCCCTCAATGGCTGTTTCCCCAGTCGCTTCCCAGGGTTTGTTCGCCTGCAAGACTTTCGCTCGTGCATGAGCAGTTACCTACAGGGTTGTTGATCTGTAGAATTTATACCTGTTGGGGTAACGTTTGTGAAGCGCGACTGGTCGGGGTTCTAGGCAACTGGTTGTTGGTTTCTCAGCTCAGCCACATTCTATTGCACCGCATGTGCAACCATTGTTTTGATCATCTCCATCAGCTGGCCGTTCTCAGGATTTGATGTCCCCGCCTCCTGATTGTTTGCAACATGTTGAGTTGGCATCCAACATTCTCTTATTGCACCTCCTAATGGGCGGCTTCCATGTTCTCGTGATTACCGGTGGTACTTCTTGATCTGGTAAACACCATTTTGGTCCTAGGACAGGTAAATCGTGGTGAACGTTTGCTGGATTTTGGAATAGTGGCGGAGGCCCTCTTTCTAGCGCCAAAATATTGATACAGAAATATGCACCAACCAACGAGATCCGGTTGACCTTGTCAAGATTGGAATTGATGTGTGCGTGATTAAGAGTAATCAACAATGGGTGAATGAAAATGCTAGAAAATAAATGACAAAGAGAACTTTTAAACTGGTTTCGACGAAGTTAATGGCCTACGTCCACTATGTTTTGTTTATATGCTGTGAGAGCTTACTATGTAGTTTTTAATCTAGAATTCATATCCCCTTCGTCATCGTTTCAAGGGGTGTATATACAAGATTTACATAAAGGAAATAGAAAAAATAAAAGGATTATAATTGATTTGAACTGCAACTCCGGTATTCTCGTGATTAGGCGCTATGATTATGCAAAGATTGTTGTTAATATGATCGTTCTCGTAATATCTGGGATCTGAAGTTATCTGGGAATCGATTGAATGATCATTCGAGTTGTCCGCGACTAGCTTGTGTTGGGTTGAGCTATGGCTCGATGAGTTTATGCTGGGTCGATTAATCATAGTCACCAAGGTCATTCTGGGTCAAGCTATATCCTCGCATCAGCCTGAGCTTGGCGGAAAAACCACACCCAACGATTTGTATCTTTTACAAATCAGTTCGATAATATTATTAATTAATAAATCTTCATTAAAAAAGATATTTACTATAATTATCATGAAAAAGTATAAGAAACGGCATTTGCATAGTTTAACCACCACTAGGTGGTCCAATGAAAAGAACAGTAGAGTATCTAACATAGTCTCCTAATTTCGAGTCTCCTTGATTCTAAGGGAAAAAGAGCAAAAATAGGATCTAACATGGTCTCCTAAGTTCAAGTCCTCATAGTTGCAAATAGGGATGGCTACTGGAGCTCTTACTTGACCAGTAGTTCAAAGGTCCCAAAGGATTAGTTGAGATAAAGGTAATCACTAGAGCTCTTAACCGTTTGATAGTTTTAGGGATCCAATAGATTAGTTGTGGTACACGCAAGCTGACCCAAAAACCGTTAATCATTAATAATGTTGTGGATCAATGTTAGAATAGCAATATTTTATTATATTTATATTAATCCAATGATTTTCAAGAAGTGACATGTATTTTCATATCTCATTTTTTAAATCAATTTCTAATTTAACATTACAACCTCAAATTCTACAAGCTTCTAGCAAAACACAAGTGTTCATGTACATAAATTGACGCCAAATCGGAACTTGCCAACTGGAACGACAGCGCTCACGACACCCTCGATACTCCCGAAAGGTTCCACCATTTTCAATTCTTGAAGAGAAGAAAAGCAAATGAAAATGAAACAGAGATAATAAGACAATGGAAGAGATTTTGTTTTTGTTTTGTAAGTAGGATGGAGAGGTGTGTTCTTTTTTTTTTTTTTTTTTTTTTTGTTTTGTGGTGGTGAATGAGAATTGAGGGAATGGGAGAGAGATTTCTTGCTTCGGTTGAGTTTAAGGTCGGGACTTGCAAGAGAAAATGGAAAAGAGTAATGCTAAGAAATTTAATTGAGTTTATCAGCTGAAAGAGTTTCTTCCTTTCATTCTTACCAAATCCATAGCGTGCACCAAAGTAGAATGCAACAGCAAGCAACCAGGAATCGCTATGCATTGCAACCAATGATAACCAGTCTCTCTCCTGCATTCCATTCCTTGCCAAGTTTATAACTAAAGCTGGCTCAGGAAGCACGGAAGGCACTTCCTCAACAGGCAGGTCAACTTTCCATGTCTCATTAGGAAGTCCATATAGGCACAAATTCTCCTTTTCAGGATCGCACTGCTGGTATAACTTCGCAACATCAATAGTTAAAGCCTTGATCAAGCCAGCTCGTCTGCCTTTGAAGTCGCCGAAGAATTCCTCTACAATTCTAATTATTGGCTGCGGTATTCCCTCCATAAACACTCGTACAACAAAAATGGATTTGCAGGTATTGAAGAGAACTAGAAGAAGAAGAGTCAAATGAAAAGCATTTTAAAAGAAAGGGTCTAAAAAACGCTTAATTTGGGAGTTAGGGTTTTTGTTTGGGGGTTTTAATTGACAAAGTTGGGTTTAAAAAAAAAACACACAATTTTGAAAGGAACCCAGAAGACATTAATGGACTCCATTTCATTCAAGGCAGCAAACAATATGCAATACAATGGGCTAGAGCCCACACTGAAAGGCCATTACTTTAGACCAAATTTTGGGAAATTTCTTAAGAGTTTAAATTGACCCTAATAACAAAAGTTCTCCCGAGGTTTATTAAATAACAAAAATCCATTTGATTTGGTAAATATTCATTAACTCTTGATAGTATGAGTTTTAACTTTTAACGGTTTATTAACAATAGAGAGAGTTTTGTTATTTCAGAAATCTTCGAGATTTTCCTCCTCTAATCCATTTATGCACAATGTGATACTATATGCTTTCATGATCAACTTTATTTTAATTTGCTTTTCAACTTTCACTTAAAAAGAAAGTTAAATTCATCGTCAAGAAGAATCCGGATTTTGTGAGATTAAATTACTCATTTTTCTTATTATTTATCTTTCAAACATTGGCATCCATTAAAGAAAATATGCAAAACATTTTTCACATGGGAATTTAAATAATTCCAATAAAAGAATTAATTTCAAAATATTGTATATTATTTTTCATTGATTCAATCATATTATCCGATTAACTTTGTCTATGGTGGAGACAATTCTATGATTATTATTACTACATTTTATACCATAACAAATGATTAAATAGTTATTATAAAAAAATATGACAAACACATAGTACATTTATCATCAAAGCTGACATCTGTTTCAACTTTTAAAGCACTTCTAAATCAAGATTATAATTTATAACCTCAAATCTATGAGCTCATTTATATATCCTTAATTTACATTAAATATTTACTATTTTCTGGGATCATCAATAAATAGAATTTTACGAAGAAAAATAAGCTCTTGACAATGTTGGTATATATATTCTTATACATAAATGGTCATATTTTTTTTTTTCAAATCAGTTCGATAATATTATTGATTAATAGATCTTGATTAAGAAAGACATTTAGTATAATTATCATGAAAAAGTATAAAAGACATACGTTTGCATAATTTTCAAATTAATTAAATGATGTTATGGATCAATGTTAGAATAGCAATATTGTATTATATTTATACAAATCCAATGATTTTCAAGAACTGACATGTATTTTCAAATCTCACATATTTCATTTTTTAAATCAATTTCTAATTCAAGATTATAACCTCAAATTCTACAAGCTTCTAGTAAAACACAAAGTGTATAATGTTATATTATAGTTGGACCACTATAGATTTTGTAATATAAGAAACAAAATTTTGATGTTAAGAGTTTCCTTGACTTTGAAGAGACCTCTCATTTTCTTATCAATGCTTAAAGCAGCTACCACGACCCTTCAAGGTTGCTATTAGAGCTTGGCCACAATACTAGACGTATAACCATCAAGTGATCGGGTGGGACAATATGTATTCTTAAGTGTATTACTTAATAAATCCTAAATTTGATTCCTCTCGATTGTTAATAAGGGTGGTCACTAGAAAATTTATCTATTTCAGGGTTAAGCTGGGGATAAGTCGAAGCACACACAAGCTAATTTTGACACCTCTAATTACCGTTTATTAAAAGAAAAAAAAAAAAAAAACCAATACTAGACGTAGAACCTCATTACATAAAGTAAGTTCAAACTTTGACCTTTCACATTAAAAACTGTCTAAAACTAGATATTATTAATTATATTTAACATTATGATAATTATATATTTCAATGCTAATTTAATGGCTCTTAGGTTGTGTTACATGAGATTATTAAAATGTAAATAATTTATAAAAAAATAAATTAGGCAACTAACCATATTTAAAAATATATCTAATAATTTTTAATTATTTTCAAAATATTAAAGAAGCTATGCAACTTGCTGCCATAAACAAGTTGCCAAGAAGTAAGAACTATCTCGGCCAGGCCCCACTTATAAAAGTCTTCTCCCGTGTCACGATAAACTGGGGTCCACCACACCGCCCCACCGAGTAAGGCTAAAGGGCCCAGTCAGCCCAAACCAGCTCACGTGCCTGTAGTGTGAGGTCCGCAACCTTTTCTCATGAATTATTTGTAAGCATTGTCTTTATACACATACGGCTGATGCTTGATGCTTGATGGCCATTGATGTAACCAGACCATCGGATTGATTGGACCCGAAATTAATCTTGGCCGTGCGATTTTACTTCCACGTCAGATAACTCAGTTATAGCTGGCAGTGCACGTGCTTTGTTGTCGTTTTCGTGCTCACATATGAAACTGCGAAACGTGGTACTACAAGCGCTATCAGTAGTTACACGCGCTCCTTTCCTTCTTGAAAGATTTCTTTTCTTTTAAGACTTTATTTCATTTATTTCCAAAAAATCATTTAATATGAAAAAAAGATATTTCATAATTTTGTAAGAGTTTTTTATATTTTCAAGTACAATTTTTATAATTATAAGGGATACATAATAATTACCAATATAGTAAATGTGTTTAATATTAAGTGATCTTAAAAAGATAAATAAAATAAATTAGCTCTTTGTTATATTAGGGCCGTTGTGATTACGAGTTAGAAGTTTAATCATCAAGATGTTTCAAATCTCATCTTAGAATGTATTGATTTTGTTGCGTTTTGTATTTCTCATCAATTAGTATCAAACTCCATTTTTTCTTCAATTGAGGTTGAACCTAAACCTATGTTTGAGAGTCTTATTTTTAAGAGTAATATTACAGTTACTGGAAGTAGTATACCGAATTCATGCATCGAATGACGTGAAAAAATCCTGACCGTCATTAATATTAAGTTATAATTAATCAACGGTCAGGATTATGTTACGTTATTCGATGCATGAATTCAGTGCACTACTTTCGATAGCTGTATTATTTTCCTATTTTTAAATATAATAAAGATTTACTCACAATTCAATCTTACAAATTTTTTCTTACAATCCTAATGTGACAGCTCGCAATTAGATAGACGAGACCCATTGTTGGATAGTTGAGACCTATTAGGAGCTTTAGCTTACCAATTATGAGTTATTACGTTAAAATTGTGAAGAAAAATTTGTGAGATTAGATTGTAAGTATTCTCTTTTAAATATTCAAAAGCAATGCTCACAACTCCACAATATTGTATTATTTATTTGGCAACAAAGAATGAATCAACAATAATTATGAAAGGTACTAACTATACAAAAAAAAAAAAAAAAAAATTATTAATGAAAGAGCTAATTTTTATAGCTTGATTAAAATATAAAATTATCTTATATAATATAAAAATCATATTATATTTTATAATTTAATAAAATTAGTCAATAACTCATATTAAATTGAATTTTAAATAAACAAATCTCCTTTAAATAAATAAAAAAATTAGAGTAATGTTATATACATTAATTAATTTATACTAATTCAAGTATTAATATTAAAAAATTTTATTTTTTTTAATTTCAAATTTTTAATATTAATGCTTAGAGCAGCAAAAATAGTTAGTGCACGGCATATTATTGAAAAAATTAACACAAAACATACTACGTAACATAAGCCGCATCAACACCGCCCCATTCCGAACACCCCGTCCAGGCGTCCAATTACACATCCACATTTTAAAGAAAAATTCCACGCGCGGTACTAGCGCGTGATGAATCCACAATAAAAATACTTGCCTTCTAATTAATCCACTACACAAAGTCCAACCTCTTCCTCCCCCAAACACCATAAAAACGTAAAATAAAACTTCCTTCTCCACCTCCAACTCTCAACAAAAAAAGATTTTCTCACCTAACCTTCAACTCATTTTCTCTCTCTCTTTCTCACCCCCCAAACACTCCTCATAAATTCAAAACACGATAAAACACCATAACAACAACATGCTCGATTTTGGTGACGAATTCACCATCGAAACCTTCAAGATTCCGTGGCTCATCTGGATCCAGATTCTCATCCTCCTCCTCCTCATCGTCCTCCTCTACTGCTTCAGCCTCTTCTCCTCAGATCTCGATACCTCCAACAGCCACGTCAAGAACTCCTCCTTAGCTTCTCCTTCCTCCCCCTCTTCTTCTGTTTCAACCGATTCGGCTCTCCACGAGAAGCAGCCGGCTCTTAAATTCAACTCGACTGTCACTCACCGCTTCCAGCCTTCTCAGGTACGTACGTACGTGTGCTCGCTCTCTGTTTGGTTGCAGAGAAAATGTTGAAATCGTTCAATAAATTTTATTTTTTACTGTTTACGGTAACTGAAATCCGTTTTTACTGTTTTCAGAAACGTAATGATTGAATTGTTGTTAAATTGATTCTGAAAATGAAAACTCGTTTCGTTGTTTTCAAAAACATAATAATTAATGTTTAATTTGATTGTATTTGAGATGAATTTAAGCTTGTGTATTGAAAGCAACTTGAAGATGAATCAGTCTTTGTCGTGATATTTATTTAATATATTTGTATTCACGCAATTTATTTATACTGCCAATATATGAAAACAAAAAATTTTGTTATGATTTTCATGGATTCATTTTTTCTTTTTTCTCTTTTATTTTAATTAGTTTCAAACTTACAGAATAAGCGATTTTATTAAGTTCAGAAGCACTTCTTCCAGATGCATTTCGGATTTAAAAAATAAAGAAGTTTTTCTTTAAGTAAAATTTTGAACAATTTATTAAAAAAAAAAAAATATATATATATATATATTAAAGTTATTTTCACGAGATATAATGATGTTGATAAGTGCTTTTTGGGGGAGATAGCTTCCAAACAGGGCCCTAAACATATTATACTTTAATTAATCACAAGGAGGTTTCCTTGTAGAGTGATAGAAAATAAAATATAAAATATAAAAATAACTTCCTTTCATGCTTTTTATAATTTGATGGGTGATGAAGATCCTTAGTGAACCTTTGAAGCTATGTCATATCCCATACTTCCTTTATCTTTAATCAATGGCAATGAATCTATTATTTATAGATTTTTTTTTTTAATTTTATTGCAAATATTATTTTAAGAATTCAATTATGTTGGTTTTAGGGAATAAAAGAATCTTTGAAAGCAAAAGCTGAAGGGCAGCATTGAAACTAATCATCTTTTAATTTTTAATTTGTCCTTTTGTTGAAGACATTTTCATCTTCACATTGGGAATGGACACCTTTAATTCATTTATTAATGGAGTCTCTTATCTTAATTTCTCTTGATTGTTTTCATATTTTGGATTAAAAAATAATTTTTTTTCGGATTTTTATGATGAATTATTTAGTGGGGAAAATAATTGTATATGATTTTTATTTCTTTTTTCATAAATATACGGCTGATGGGCGGTGGCAGCGTATGCCAACTAGTGTTTGAATATTTCCAACTTTTTGCTGCTTTCAATATTTTGACTGTATGGTTTGTGGTGCAACTTTGTTTTATTTCTACCAAGTTTGATTTCTTCTTTGACTTGACACTGTTCTCGAGCTTTTTTTCTGAAAAAGAGAGAAAATAAAAATATTCTTTTTAGATCTTAAACATGTGCAGATACCTGTATTTTGTTTTTTTATTTATAGTTTGTACTTTGTATATTGTAAGGTTGTAGAAGTTGCAAAATGAACCTTTGAATCATATAAAGCACTTCTTGGAGTTGTTCAAGAGAATTGTTATTGGTCTTTTAACGTTACCGGATCATGTTAGTGTGTTTGTGCTATAACGGATTACATTGTTCTGATAATAATGGTACTGGACTAGCAAGCAATTGAGTTTGCAAGAAGAAAATCACCTTTTGATAGAGAATGTGTTGTTAAAAGAGAACGTTTACTTCACTGGTCTTGTAACGTTGTCGAGTCGATATTTAGGGGCGGAGCTAGGAAATTTGTTCTGGGTGTCTAAAATGTAATGTTCAATGAACGAGGGGGCTAGAAAGAGAGAGAGCTTAATTTATAGGGGCCAAAATAATGCATAGGGACTAAGTGAATACTTTTCTAAATAATGCTGGAATCCAGCTCCGCCCTTGTCGATATTAAAGTTATATTGAATTAAGGAATATTAATCTAAAAGCATAAATTATTCTAATGATAACGTTATCAAACCAGTAACATAACAGGGTGTGTAAAATCGTTGCAGGTAGGAGGAAGTCAGAGTATAAAAGGGGAGATAGCGACGAGTACTGGTAGAAGAATAGTGGGAGGTGAAGAGAATACAGAAAGGGATTCAAGTTCAAGCAGTATCTGTTATCATCCTTGCCATTATTTCAAGCTTGCTAGAGAAGCTTTTCTCAAGTGTTTAGGTTTAGACTCTGAGCAACCTTCCAACTCAGAACAAAGAAAAGACAGATAGTATTTTATTGCTTCTTTATAAGCTTCAAAAATGCTAAAAGCAAAGAAAAATGAAAAAAAGAAAAAAAATTCCACTTTATCTCGATCCGTCTTCTTCGCTTCAATGGATTTATTATATTGCTAGTTTGATAACATTATCAGATCTTCGGAAAACTAATAGTGGGTGATACTATAGTATCAGGGCAACGTTACCTCCTATAACATAACAAAACTCTATTCGTTAGTCTTGACTTTTATTTTTTTGGTTAGTGACTGATGGTGTCCGACTAGTTTACGTGTTTTTTAATTAATCATTTTTAGTAATTTGGGATGTTCAAACTAGTTTGTGCTCATCTTGATTAATCTTTGGTGGTTTTAAATTAACGACTAAATAAATCTTCTAATAGTTGCCCCTATTAACAATCGAAGAGAATCTAAAAATATCACATCACTCAATCAGTGAAAATTGATTGATAAAGTGCGTCATTGAAGCATTGTTTCAGTTGTTCTACAACAATTCGCTGTAACAATAATCGTTTTCTCAACATAAATTGTGTCGCAAAATTATTTTCCTAAGATCAATCAAGATTTGATTCCTCGTTGTAGTTATCAATAAATCCTTGCCTCTCAAGGATGTTAAAAGTGGAAAGCAATTTAATACTATTAAAATTTAAGATTTGATTCCTTGTGTAGTTACCAATAAATCTCCAGGCTTTTCTTTCCTCTCATGATCTCATTGATGTTATAAAGTAAAATAATAATAATAATAATAATAATAATAATAATAATAATTAAATAAATTACTTGTTATCCTAATGTCTTTAGCTTCACCAAAAATTCCTGTACAATACATGGATTATAATAATATTCTTGTTTTAAATCCCAAAAAAAATATATTATTATTATATAATTACTAATTATCTATGAAAGTATAATGGGATTTTTCTTGTGATCATGCAAAATAATTACTCAACAAACAGGATTAATGAGTTACACAAATCGATGTTCCATCTTTAATCTCTATCATGGATTCATAATGTAAAGATAACCCCAAAATCCCATGGTTCGCTGTTTCTTTTTTCCTATATTATTGTAACCCAACAAACTCTTTAAAATTGTGTAACGTAAAAAGTTCTAGACGAAAAAGACGTAAATAATGTTTTAGGAGAATAATAAATCCACGATTGAGTGTAAATAATTCCTAAATTTATGATAATTTCTAATCTCTACCTATATAATCTTTGTTGCCAAAAAATATTAATTTATATGACTTTGATGCATATTGAATAAAATAAACTTCTTCGTATCCATCTGTGGATAACTCAAATGGTTAGATCGAATTAGAGATACTGTGGATAAGTATACGCTCTCAAACTTAATTTCCCATTTGAGCATCATGATTTTAATGGAAGACTGTGACGGTAGATTGTTACACTAGTCTTTCAGAAGGATTAGTTAATATCAAGATTAGAGAATTTTGAATTGAAACATTAGCAACTATTACCTAAACCATTTTTATACTTGCTATGGAAATCATAAATAATATCGTACTAATTAATGCCATGTTATTGTATCAAATCCATTGAGAGATTCAAGTGATTATGTAATCGTTGAGAATATATATTGTGAGATTTGTTATTGATTTTAAAAGATTCTTGACAAGGAGGAAACGTCCATGAGTTGTTGAAATGGGCTTTTCAAAATTCAATCCATCCATCAGTCAAAGTTTTTTTCTAAACTTAAATGACTAAAGCCCCCTAAGAACATCTTCAAATGACTTTTTATATAATTTAAATTTTTTATTATAAAGAGTTTATCTATAAAAATAAAAATGACTTTTTATATAATTTAAATTTTTTATTATAAAGAGTTTATCTATAAAAATAAGAATTCAACGTACTTTTTATCTTTAAAATATAAATTAAAGAGTGAGTTTAACTCTCCATATTTAGAGAGTTAAATTTCACTCTCTATCCTAATTTTAATTAATAAACTACAAGTTCCTATGCATTTTATTTATTAATTCTTTCACCCATTAAGTCTCTTTCTTAGAAATAAATAGCATCATCATTAAATTTAAAGAATTTATTGGATTTGAATAAAAATTATGTTCTTTATATTTAAAAATTAGTGAAGATGCTCTTTAAAATAAAGAGCATAATTAGAGATACTCTAAGTGACCACTAGTTTCACATTATACCAGTCATTTACAATAGAATAAATATAAATTGACAAACACTTTTCATAATTTTCTTTTACAAAAACGCTGATATGATAGTTCACAATTGGTCAGCTCGTATTTGGTCAGACGAGATTTATTACGAGCTGACACGTCGCGTTTATGAAAGAAAGTTAGTGAGAATGATTTGTGAGTGTAGCATTACTGTTTACAATATTAAGCTAACGTTATCTTCAACTAGATCATAACCTAAAAGATTAGACGACAATAAACATCATTCATATGATAATCACATTACCCTAGTAGTCCATGAATAATTATTAGTGATGATACTTTTGCATTGGATCAGTTGTTTTTACTAGTGTTCATGTATGTCGGATCCAGACACATGGTAAGTGGGTTCCCAGAGGTATTGTCTGCTTTGGGCTTTGAGGCCTGCATGATTTATATGAAACTTTGGCACCAATACAGTCTCCCGGGGGAGTGCTTGGCAGTGGCCTATGCCCTCCTTTTAAGGCCAATTGTTGATATATGATAGGTCCAGACACGTGGTAGGTGGGTTTTTAGAGGTATTGTCTGTTTTAGACCTTAAGACCCATACGGTTTTATCTTAAAAAGGCGCATCTAAGTGGTGAGGGTGTCCTTGTGCTATATAAAAGATCAAAACCCTCGTCTCCTAACCGATGTGAAACTTTGACACCAACATTATGTTCCATTTATAATATTAAAGTAACATTGCTAACATCCAATGGATTAGGATCCAACGATCCATATGATATGAGGAACAACGTCATTTATCTAATAATAAAATTATCGTAATAGTTCACTAATTTTTACATACAATATTAGGGTAATAGTGACACTAGACCAAGATCCAATTAATGGTCCCGTTGTAGAATAACGTTGTTCATGATCTAGTAGTAGTAGTATAATGGTATTATGATATCATTTCATTAGTATTTAAATAATATTAACTTATTATCACAAACATTAGTTCATTATCTACACGTCAATGCCATAAAAAAATATGGCGTTGCTTTTATACACGGAATAATATCATACCACTCAATATATACATCAAATATTTTTATTTCAATGACTATATAATTATCATATTATTTATATATAAGATAGTATCTCTTTTAACTTAAAATTTTGACTTATTTTTACACAAATGTTCAACCGTGAATTCAATACAATCTAATAGTAATCAACACATATGAATGTATGTAATATATATTTATCCAGTATTTACTTTAAAAAAGAAAAAAGAAAAAATAGGGGATCAAAAGAGCCTGATCGAAGTCATTAAATATAGTGGCAGGTGTCTCTGTGGAGCCACAGGAGTTATAAATTTGGCTGGTGAAGTGAAATTAATATGAAAGATCAAACAAACCTAATAAACAAAGACAAGAAGAAGAAGAAGAAGAAGAAGAAGAAAGAGTAATGGAAAAATCAGAAGAAGAGAAGAGAAGAGGAGAAGAAACATATTATTTGTACAGCCCTTGTTCTCTCTTTCAACAACTTATCAAAGCTTGCTTCAAGTGCTTGGGTCGTGAAGAAGGTGATGATAAACACTCCACAACTCCTCTAGCCCATCCAAATTCTCCTTCAGGAACAGAAGAAGAAAAAGAAAGGAAAAGAACTGTATGTATAATCTCTCTCTATTTCACATATAATATAAACGAAATCTTAGGTCTAACAGACGTATCATTCATGACTATGTATTTACTTTCTCTTTTCTTGCTTAATGGTGGGATCTTATTAAATAGATACATGAATGATCTGATACTTATGTTCGTTTCAAAGAAGACTTCCTCTACGTTGAAACCTGCTTTGAGATCTAATTAATTTGGTTAGTTAATGTATATGAATGCAGGAGGAAGAGATTGGGGTGGAGTCCAGTGCAACAACAGTCACAAAAAGGCCACCAAGGCCACCAATAGACCCTGGAAGAGGTGGTCAAATCAACTGATCATAGTAATCCTCCTAGGTAAATAATAATATTTACTGTGTTTAAAGACTTCTGAGACTCAAATTTTGTGAGTTTTATATTTTAATTAGTACTGTTAGTTAATTAATTTGTTGAACTCTTCTTGGATGGTATATATATGATACAACCATCTCCTGTGTGCATGCTAGAACAAGTTAATTAACTCTCTTTCTTTACCAAACTAATTAATGGCGGGTTTGGGACATTCTGGTGTTTAGGTAAGTTTAATAATTAATAATAAATAAGCCATTGACCTTTACTAATTTTCCATAATAAGCTTATAATAACAAATGATAGACTTGTGCTAAAGGCAAGTGAATTCGAGATTATTCTCAGACAAGGAAGAAATGTCCGAGTCGTTGATTGGGTTGTCCAATCCATCAGTCAACCTTTGTCTCAGGCAAACACCCCTGTAAAATTCAGTTTTTTACATGGGATTTGTTAAATTATCCATCTTAAAAGTTTATCAAATCTTTGACAACTATAATATGAACCCAAAAAGAATAAAGTGAACAAGATTTATTTATGTATACCTCAATTAATTTTTAGAAAAAAATATATATCATACAGTGATCCATTATCGTGACCCATGTAAATTATGGATAAAAATAATACCTTTGTGCCTAATAGCGTATCAAACCCGATAGTAGATTGAAGTCATACACAATTTTCTTAATTTGCCCGTATAGTTGGATTACCCATAGGTGAGTTTAAAACCAAAATTTTCATCTCGATTAATGTGATATCTTTTATAATATTAATGAATATATATTACTATATATCTTAACATATGAATCATTATTTATATGTTTATGTCATATAAAATAGCATGTCATCATATGCTATATGATACCCATATTATTTATATATGTCGCATAAGTACACATTCATATTACATAAATGAAACTATTCAAAATCATTAAACTCAAGATGTGCATTAATTTTTACCAATAAAAAGGAAGGAAAGAAAACAAACTAAAGGCCTCCAAAGAGAAATATCATTAAATATATAGTGTGTCAGGTGTCTCTCTATGAATCATAGGAGATATAAAGTGGCAGGTAAACTGTGAAAACCGGAACCGAACCAAACAAACACAAAGCGAAAGAGAAAAAAATAGAAGAAGAAGGGAAATGGAAGCTTCAACGGAAGAGCAGAAAAGAGGAGAAGAAACATATAATTTTTACAGCCCTTGTCATCTCTTTAACCAACTTGTCAATGCTTGCTTCAAGTGCTTTGGTCGTCAAGACGATGAAGATGATCACTCCACAACTCTTCTTGCTCACACAAACTCTCCTTTACTGTCAGAAAGAGCAATGAAAACAACTGTACGTATACATCTCTCTTTCACTCACTCACTTCGTTAGTATAAACAATCTCAGGTAGAAGAGACGTAACACGTCAATTATGTTAAAAACATCCCCTCTATTGCAACATAAATTGTTCATATTTTTTTTTTTTATGTTTAATTATTAAAATGAGTGTGTTAATGATCTAATACGTCTGTTTCACCGAATTTTTTCTCTGCGCTGATTTACATTTCCAGATTTAATGTGATTAATTAATGTAAAGCTGATTGATGCATATAAAATGCAGGAGGAAGAGTTTGTGGTGGAGTCGAGGGCAGTAAGAGTGAAAAAGAGACCACAGAGGCCACCGGTAGGCTCTGGAGGAGGAGGTCAAACTAACTGATACTCTCTTAGTTATCCTAAGTTAAATTTACGAATAATAATAATATTTACAGACTCTTAATTAGCCAGAACTTTTCTGGGATGTTTTATGTAAATATTATGTGAAATTAAGATTTAAGAGTGATAGGGCAGTTAAACTGAGGCTCTGTGGGGGCGGCGGAGAAGCTAAAAGTGGGGGGTAAGTTGTCGTGATTCAATTGTTGTATTTCCTTCTTATCTGTCTCTCTAATCGAGCCCTTTTCTCTTTTCAATCTGTTCAATAAATGTGCCTTTTGCTACATTCAATACTCTTTCTCGCTGTGTCTTCCATGTGCAACCCACTTAATTGCATACATGAAACAGTTGATATGATAAGTATGTCGGGGTAATGGTACAGTGTCTTTAGCGTTGCTTACTTATACTACAGTATCCGCACTGTATCGTAGAACGAGTAATTATCAATGAAGTTTCTGGTGAGACAAGTCACCAAGTGTATTGTGCATTTGTGATACTGGTTGTGCTTTTAGTAATATTCTATTACATGGATGATCAGAAAGAGTACTGTGATAGTTATTTGTACAACCAACCGATGATGTCCCATTACATTAACATATATAAGGCCGAACGACATCAACAGTTAATTATATCCGTTAAGTTGAACTGCAGAAGGATAAGATGGTAAATTAAAAACAATGAAAGGGTAATTATGTCATTTTACACCCAATACATATAAGAATAACCATCTTCTTCTCATCTCCCCCACCCCAACCGACGAACTCCACGACATGCACCGGTTACCCGTTGCCTCACCGTGACTGTGTCGCGCGCCCTCCACTGCCCCAGTTGTCGCTCAAGCTGGCTTCTTTGAGGTTTGATTTGGTTGGTTGTTTTGAGTTGAGATTGGATTTTGATTTGTAGTTGAGATTGGAGGTTGATTGTTGTTCATTTGGAGTGTTGGATTTGTTTTTAAGACAACCCGCAACCACCCCTTGCCGTCAGCGACCTCCACCCTCACCCTTAGCCTACCAGAGCCACCACTACAACTTGCCCCACAACTGTTTGATAAAACGCCCCAACAAGCCCACACACTGAGCCCAACCATCTCCCTTCACCACGCACGCGAAAAGTGCGTAGTGCGCGCCTGGCCATGCATGATTTGGTCAAAATAGGATCTTTGATTTGGATTAAAAGATGAAAGGGTATTTTTGTCTTTACAACTACTTGACTATGTCAGATAACAAATTTTATTAACAGATCTTAAGGGCAGATGGGTAATTGTTGTACAGATATTAACGATTGGTAGATAATTGTCGTTTTCAAACTTTTTGGACTCTAAATTTTCGTTAGGGCAAACTTAGGTAGGAATATGTCATTTGGCCTATATATAATGTTGCTTATACTATAGTATTTTCACTATTTGTAATACTGATATTGGTGAGAAAGTTTATGGTTAGACAAGCATACTATATTAGTGGTCGTTTATTCAATAATATTATAGTACTTACTAATAGATCAGTGTATGTTATATGTGTTGACAAAAAGTCTCAAGATTCATAGTTGTATGTACAACCGTTGTAAGGAACTTCTGTTTTTTTTTTGTTTTTCTTATATCGTTTATAAGGCGATTAGGCAAAGGAATTATAAACAATATAGGCGATAAAATGTTATTAGATGAATATATAAATGATATGATATTTACATCCATGTTATATTTGGTGGTTAATATTATAGGGTTCGTTTATTTTGTTATTTTGGTTATAATTTTGAGAATAATATTGGGTAGTTGAATAGGATGAGCATTATGAGGTAAATTTTAAAAATTCACAAAAAAAACCCCTTAAGTTTGCTAATTTAATTAAACACCTCAATATATAAATTTTTTTGTAAAATGACAAAAACACCCGCATCCACCCACAGTGCCAAATTCCGGCCACCACTATCAGAATCTGGCCGAAATATGGTGTTTCAACGTAGACCGGTTGAATCTGGCCGGTCGTGCGTCGATATGGCATTTTCCGACCAAATCTACCATTGATCTGGCCAGAAAAGGCTAGATCTACGGCCAAGTCTAGGCTTCGACGGCCACAAAAGGCCATATTTGGCTGTTGTTGACGGCCAGATCGGCGAATTACCAACCATTTTTAAATGTTTCTATGCCAGAATCTGGCAACTATCGGTGGGTAGGGGTGTTTTTGTTAATTTTTAAACTTTTTTTTCTAGGGGGTGTTTATTAAATTAATAAACTTAAGGGGTTTCAAAATAATTAAAAAAATTAGTATTTCTCAAATAATAAAACAAACAAGTATTTTGGGAATGGGATTGAGAATATGGATAGGAATAACAAAACAAACGGAGCCATAATTGTCGTCATTATAAATTTTACATTTCACATTATAATTTACGATATCTTTTTACAAGTTTATATATTGTCGAATAATTATTAACTTATGACACTAAATCTAAACGTTATGAAAATGAAGGTTTTACCCATTGAATCCCACTTTGTGTGCTTTCCTATGGACAGAATTTGGGCCATAAAATAAGTAAAGGCCCAAATGTAGATAAACCCATATTTGTTTCAAAAGCTTGAATAGGCCCACCATACCAAAATATAGAGGCAGAAGTGGAGTCCATGAAGAGCTTGAAGAATAATTAATTAATAAATGCCGCCACGTCAGTCAGGGGAGAGCAAAAGGCCTGCCAAGTTAGCATAGATTCAAAACAGTGAGATTTAAGAAGCTAACAAGGGCTTCCCTCGTATTATATAAGAAAAAAATAATATTTCGATTATCTCTGCACATGTCTTCTAGGGGTAAGCGCGGGTAGCGGATAGAACCGGAATCGACACTATGCGAATAAGTTTCAGTTCCCTTTTTTTAGAACTGACACTGTGCGATTCCGATTTTGATTCCTACTGTACGGTTTCGATTCTGGTTCCTCCACATGTAGGAACCGAAACCGAAACCTGGAAAAAAGAACCTACAACAGGTACCCGGCTTGGAACCTGCAGTGGGTACCTTGTTTTGGACCTGGACTGAAATGAAATATCTATGAAGAATGGGGGGTCTATGTAATTTTACATATAAAAAAATTAAAACGGAAAAAGTTAAATTTTTACAATAACCTAATTAAATAAATATACAATTATACTTATTATATATAAACTACACCATATAAAAAACTTTAATATATTATAATATATTAATATTAAAGTTTTGATTAATTAAGTGTATGATTGGAATTAAAACCAATTAAAAGTATTTTAATGTTATTAAAATAATTATTTTTGAATAGAATAGTATATTTGATTGAATAATAATATAGTATTTAGTTATTTACTTCAATTATCAAGTTCTAAGTATATTTGT